GCCTTAGACCGCTCGGCCAACCTGACGACAAGGCAAAAGCTTTCGATAACTTCTTGAGTTCAGTTTTGGTTTGGGGTTTTTTTTTGTTGTGTTCTCTGATCTTCAAGAGAATGTTAAAGGGGTTCATCTTAAAACACGTCATTTATGTGAGTCATGAGAATTGAATTTTATTTAGATAAACAAAAGAGGTGTTGCGAAATTTTAAAAATTGATTGTTAATGAAGTCTTCGAATTATAAAAAATATAATTGCTGATTAAAAAAAAACAATAATTAAAAAATAAATAAAATATAAAAAAACTAATTTGCTTTGTCAGGTGTGGGGTTCGAACCCACGCTCCCTCTCGGGAACCAGAGCTTAAATCTGGCGCCTTAGACCGCTCGGCCAACCTGACTATGATACGAGGAAATTAATTGTTCTTAGTCTGGATACAATTTTCTAAAACTTCTATATTTTTCTAATCCAAACAGATCTTACATTTTGGACGAAGATAATCTAATCGTCTAATCAGAGTTCAATCGAAAAGTATTTATCTTAGACATGTAGAGTTTTAATAAGTTTGCAAATGTGGTACAATATCACGAAATTTAATTGGACTGTTACAAAATGGGAATAGAACCTTAAAAATAACTGTAAACAGTGGTGTTGGGGTTATGTATAAAGCAACTAAAATTGCAATGTTAATAAATATTTTACATATGGAAGACTTTCAAATGCATTTTTATATACACTGGTGGCCAAAACTAAAGCAACTAAAATTGGAAGATTAATAAATGCCGCATAACTTTTTAAAAAATAGAGATGTCGTTGGTTTTTTCAGTTTTACATCGGGTACTTTATTCACTAAAAAAAAACAAAAGTATTAATGAAAAATTCATTATGAAATAAATAATAATTTATGGATAAGGGAATAGTCTCAAGTTTTGCTTGGACAAAACTAAAGCAATTCTACAGTACAAACAGATTAACTGTAATATGTTAGTTATTTGTACCATTATAATTACTATGTTTTGGCTTCTACGCCTACTTCGATTCTTATAGATCATTTTTAAATAACATGTGTCTGGTTTTCATTTTTGACTTAGGGACCAACCCCCCCTTCTCGATTTTTTATTTTCCAAATTTTGAATGGACTGGTAAATGAATACCAATGATTGATAAGGTTTGAAACTTTGCACATATTTATTTAAAGATTTAAAAAGGAAGAAAAAAAAAAAATTATAAAATAGTTTTGTTGTTGTTTTTTGTGGTCAAAGAAAAGTCCTTATTTTTTATGGCGGGCATGATAACTCCTCACTGGAACAACGGAATCCGAAAATTCCAAGAGTACTAAAAAATTGAAAAATCACCTATTTTTGACCACAAACTAAGTTAAAAAAATCAAGAAGATCTTCACCGATTGGCTTTATCCTAGTTCACACGAGAGCTATACATTCCCAGAGAAACGTGTCAAAATTTGGAACCGATTGGATTATTAGTTTTTGAGTTATCGTTTAAAGTTTGAGAATCACTTTTGCCGTTACTTGATGCTGACACAATAAATCGACTATATCTTGATGAGTTCTTGAGATTTTCACTTGAAATTTTGTATGGATATTCTAGTATTAGTGTAGATTCGAAAAAAATAAATAGAAAATTTTGATGCCGAGAATGGGGGAGTCCCCTTAATGCCCAAAAAATATAAAAAATGACTAGAATCAGATGCAGTTCTCCGGCAAAATAGCTAATTACCAGAGGTTGTGAAATAATTTATTACAGAAAATGATTTCAGCATGGAGGAAGGCTGTAAAAGAACATCAGTTCATACTGATTAACAAATTGTCATAGAAGTAAAAAATACACATTAAAGAGTTGAATGGAATTTGTCAGGCGATTATCGTTGGATATGACCTCAAGAATCAAGCGTGGGCGAGCTATGGTCGCAGGTCTACATGCCCGGAAACTATCAAAAAAGTTATTTTATTTCTAAAAAGTATCGGAAAACCAGTTTTTCGATAAATCTCATATTAATTGGAATTCGACTCAGTGGATAAATATTATGCTCTCTGGTTAGCCCACGCTTGGTTCTTGAGGTCATAAAGACTCAGACATGAAAAATGATTACCATCTGAGAGTCCAAAAATGCATGGGCACTGGTAAACATAGAGAAGGGACAGAAAAATAACCATTTCTTTTTATGTAGTTCGATATTTTTACGAAATTTATGAAGTAATGCATCGGATTGTTTATACAAATGTGTTGGAAAATGCTATGATTCCCTTCGCTGAAGAAAATATACCGTTTGTTTGGATGTTACAGATTGACAATAACCTCCAAACATGCACCAAAACATGTCAAAGATTGGTTGTGGGAGTTTGTTAATGGCCAACACAATTATCAGATCTTCACCCAATGGAAAAAACTATTGGAGTATGATAGATAGCAAAATAAAAACAGAATCAGAAGCAAATAAACATAACCTCCCTCTTCCCAAAGCTTCAGGACGCCAGCAATAGTATACCCAAGGATCAAATTGAGCATTTTATTGACCCGATGTCTCGTAGGTGTGCTGCCGTAATGAAAAATAATGGTTATGCTGTCGATTACTGAAAAGTTGCTTATTTATGAGAAAAGCCAAAAGTTGTTTTAGTTTTGACCACGCAAAATTGTGTCAATTTAGTTTTCCATAGAATATTTTTTATTTCAAAATAAAGTTTGCGTTTATATTTTTTTAATGAATAAATTACCGATTTATTTCTGAAAAAGTTTATTCAGTTTGCAATTTCAGTTACTTTAGTTTTGCAAGAAGACTATTATGTACCCTCTTTAGACTGGTAATTATACACTGACATATTCGATAATAAATAAAATTCAAAGAAATCTCTATAAACGCATTAATAATTGTTTTAAAATTGTGTTTTCCTCAATTTGTACATTTTAATTTGTTTTTTATTTTCTTATATTTGAATATTTAAAAAATATAATTTTATAAAAAATAGCAAAATTCGAATGTAATCTACTGCTTTATGTCAGGTGTGGGGTTCGAACCCACGCTCCCTCTCGGGAACCAGAGCTTAAATCTGGCGCCTTAGACCGCTCGGCCAACCTGACTGCCTGCTAACGGTGGTCAAATGAACCGAATATAAATGTATGGTCGAGATACAAATGTTTTTTTTTTCAATTTTATTTTTAGAAAAAAAAATACTCGAGGGTTTTTTTCTTTTGGTTTACAATTGTATCAATTTTAGGATAATTAGTATTGTTAACATTATTGTCAAATGGCTATGACCTCATTGGATGTTGACGATAATTAGGTAAATTGTTTTTAGATACATAAAGATTTACTGTAAACAAGGAATATTGTTCTTCCCTACTACATAAATACATATGTGTAAACATGTGTGTGACACAATTTATATTTATTTCAAATGTTAAGGGACGTACTTTCGTCTGGCTACCCACAAAATGTGTTCTAAAAATAGTCACTTTGTACACATTTTAATTTAAGAATCCTTTGAGCAGGGTAATTAAAGAAACTAGGATAATTGTATGTATTCTGATTGTGTTTCACACCAGAAGAAATATATAAAACAGTGTTCCGAAATATGTATGAGGCTAAAAAAATGCCACTGGCTTATTTTAACTCTTCATGGTGCGGCATTTTTACATTACAATAATATTGTCTGTTAATAATAATATTTTTGTTAACAGAACAATTATTTTATTGAATATCAAATCCTCCTACAAAAATTATGAATATGGGACCAACTTTTAAGGAAGTCCCCTTATAACGATACCACTTGTATTTGGATATTTTGGGTATTTAAAATTGTATATTTGTCAACTGTTGGGGTGACCCCTATATATAAGGACGGTATCGACATTTTTGATGTCTTATCTTTATTTTCTAACATAAGGTATATTGAATTGACATTCTATGTTTTTGGAGGTCGAAAATATCTTTGAGAAAATGGGTTTTAAGGGAAATCCTGCATAGACCTTCAAAAAATATTTGTAAAAATCTTCGCATTTTGCATGGAGAAGGGGATCGAGCCAATGATAAAAATCGGTCATTATTTAGCGGTTCAAATGGACCCTGATTTTTGTCTGAAAAATTATAAAATTTGTAAAATCTTTGTATAGACATTTAAAAATATTTTGAAAAAATCCACGCCATGACTTTGTATAGACCTTCAAAAATCCACGCCTTTGTATAGACCTTCAAAAATCCACGCCTTTGTATAGACCTTCAAAAATCCACGCCTTTGTATAGACCTTCAAAAATCCACGCCTTTGTATAGACCTTCAAAAATCCACGCCTTTGTATAGACCTTCAAAAATCCACGCCTTTGTATAGACCTTGAAAAATATTTTGAAAAAAACCACGCCTATTTAAGACCTTCAAAAATCCACGCCTTCGTATAGACCTTGAAAAATATTTTGAAAAAAACCACGCCTATTTAAGACCTTCAAAAATCCACGCCTTTGTATAGACATTAAAAAATCCACGCCTATTATATAGACCTTGAAAAAATATTTTTTTTAATCCACGCCTTTATATAGACCTTGAAAATTTGTTTTTTACTATCTACGACCTTTAAAAATATTTTGAAAAAATCCACGCCTATTTAAGACCTTAAAAAATCCACGCCTATTTAAGACCTTAAAAAATCCACGCCTATTTAAGACCTTAAAAAATCCACGCCTATTTAAGACCTTACAAGATCCACGCCTATTTAAGTTTAAATTGGAATGTTTTAAAATTGGAATATTGCGAACGGTAGGGTACGACAGTAGTCCCCATTGGCCATTGCCTTGTCTTATTTGTTGTTTGTCTTCGAATAGTTTCTTCACCTACAACAATAAATGTTGAAGAATTTCTGATAACCTTTAACACATCAATATAAATAGCTAAAAAAATTGCTAAATTTGTTTTTTGAACATTTTTTAAAATTCGGACAGTTGTTCAAGATACATCGTAACAATCAGATCGCCGCAAAAGTACATTCGAAAGAAAAAACAATGAAAACGCGATTTAAATACGTTGAAATTTTGTTGGTGCTATTTCTTCTAGAAGTGACTCGGGCTGCAGAATTGCCGACGATCAGCAAGGCAAGGAATATTTTAAAATTTATGAATCCCGCCGCGGATCCCTGTAGTAATTTCTATGAATTTACATGTGGAAATTTTCCACGTATCTATCCCGCCATATTGAGTCAACAAGCGGAAACCAGTGTTTTGGGAATAATGCAATCAGATTTGGAACATATCATGTTCTCCGTATTGAATAGCCCCAATATGACCATGGACACAATTAGTCATGGCAAGGTGAAAGATTTTTATAATTCCTGTTTGAATCTACGACACTCGGGATGGCTTTATATGGCCAAGTTAAAGGAAATTATTGCAGAATTTGGACAAATGCCGGCACTGAGTGAAAATTGGTCGGATGAGGACTTCAATTGGTTACAAGTTGTGGCAGAGATTTCCAAAAAATACGATTTACAAATAATTATTGGCAAATATGTACGTCGAGATCTCTATGATAAGCGACGTAACACCGTGTACTTCGATTTACCCTCATTTGGTTTGCCGAAGCCGGAAATGTTCCTGAATCCCGCATATAAGCTGCTACTCGAAGAATATCGTTTGGCAATTGGCCAACATTTGCGTAACTATTTGGGGGTCAATGAAATAATGGCCCAGAAATTCTCGCAGGAAATATTGGGTTTTGAAGTTGCCCTGGCCATGGGTACGGTAAATGAAACCGGAATATTCACACAACCTTATGAATATGTGGATTATTTGAAACGAGAATATCCGGAGGACTTGGATTTATTTAAATATTTAGAAATAGCCTTGGATGGTCCCTTACCCAAGGGAAAAATTATCGATAACTGCCCAGTGTATCACAAAAATTTGTTGAAGATAATCCGACGTACCCCCAAACGGATTATGGCCAATTATATTTTCTATTCTCTGCTGAGGAATTTTTTGTTGAGCCCCTTCCCCAACACCCTGGAAGATTTACAGAAGGGCTGTGTAAGCCTAACACGAAAATATTTTGAAAATATACTCGACAATATGGTCTATCGTCGGACCAATGTCAAAGATGCCGAACAGGCTGTCATAAATATGGCTTATGATTTTAAAACGGTAATGGAATTATCGCTGCGGCAAAATACATGGCTGTCGTCGAAGATCCAGAGACGTATTAAAGATAAACTGAAATCTTTAAAGGTTATAATAAAATCCTATGCAGATCAGGACTTCTCTGCGGACTTCGAACAATTTCTTATCGATGAAAATGATTTTTGTGGCAACCTAAAATCGATTTTTATTCTCAGAGCCATGGAAACGAAATCGAATTTGAATAGCCCACCAAAAGCCAACTACAATTCCCTCTCCACATCCCTCCTACCCAAATACCTAAAGGAAGAAAATGCCCTTGTGGTACCGGTGGGTTTCTTACAGCCCCTTTTCTTCTGGCATTCCAGCTATCCCGCCTCCATAAAATTAAGTCAACTGGGCTTTTTCATTGCCCATGAAATGATGCATGCCATTGATGCGGAGGGCATCTTCTATGATCCCGATGGCCAATATAGTTATTGGAATAATGGTAAACTCCCCGAAGCATTTACTATGCGCAAATATTGCTATTCCAAACAACACAGTGGTGGCAATTATATTTTTGGTGGCATAAAAATCCCAGAATTACAATCGGATTTGGAAAACATGGCCGATGCGGATGGTTTACGTTGGGCCTTCAAAACCTTCACAATGTGGTATAATAGTCCATTACTGGCTAATTTGAATATATCATCGGAGGTGCTTCCCAATTTGGATTATCAAGATCATCAATTGTTTTTCATTAACTTTGCTCAACTTTGGTGTAATGATGTTAATCCTCTGATGACTGGCCTGCCCTTTGTACCCAATGGCGATTATATATCGGGAAATTTAAAAGTAATGTCTGTACTAACGAATGTCAAGGAATTCTTTGAGACATTCCATTGTGAAAAGCCGAAGAAGCCGTTTGTATGTGAAGTTTATTAGTTAAGGAATGATTGATAATAAAGAGAGAAAAACTGAAATGTGTGTTTTGTAATATTCGAAAAGTGAGGAAAGGGCCAAAGTTGGTCCTCAGTAACTGATGATAGATTTTTTTTTAAAAAAATATATATAAAAATGTAGCAAAGTTCCGGTGCTGACCAAAGAAAACGCCTAAAGTTGTTGGTAATGATCCGTTAATATTTAGAAGACTTTATTTTATTTTTTTCTGTTTTGTGGTTCGCTTTTATATGATCACAACATGGCCTAGTCACCGTAGTCGCTGGAGCTCGATAGGTCTCACTATGTCGATGTCCGAGAATATATGGTACAGCTCATGGTTCATTCGGCGGCGATATTCACTGTCGACGCATATAGATCCATAGATCTTCCGGAGAATTTTACTCTCAAACACTTCAAGAGCTACCTCATCTGCTTGCGCAAGTACCCATGCTTCAGACCCATATAACAGCACGTGTAATATTAGTCTTGTAGAGTGTGAGTTGGGTCTGGCGAGAGAAGGCATTGTTTTTGAATTGCTTACTCAGACCATAGTAGCATCTGTTGGTCAACACTATTCTTCTCCGGATTTCAAAGCTGATGTTATTAGTTTTGTGTATATCGTTGACTACCTCGAAGCAGTAGTTCCACAGTTGGTCCGAGGCTGCTGTACGTCTTGCGCGTTGATACCATCAGTTTGGTCTTCTCGCAGACTCTTTATCAATTACATGAAAGGTGGCTGTTACGGCTCGCAATGTTCCACCCATTATGTCGATATCGTCGGCGAGTAACATATGCTGTTTGGTGTACAGAGTGTCATTTCTGTTCACATTTGCATTTCGTATGACTTTTTCCAGAAGGATATTAAAAACAACACACGACAAACTGTCACCCTGTCTGAATCCTCGTTCGGTATTGAAGGGCTCCGAAAAGTCCTTTCCGACTTTAACTGCTGAACTTGTGCCAGTTAAAGTTATCCTGCATAACCGTATTAATTTTGCAGGAATGCCAAACGCAGACATGACTTTAAACACCTCTGAACGGATAGGACTGTCGAATCCGGCTTTATAGTCTCATTGACTATAAATATATATATATATAAAGTGATTTGTTAAGAGCTTGATAACTTTTTTTAAAAAAACGCATAAAATTTGCAAAATCTCATCGGTTCTTTATTTGAAACGTTAGATTGGTCCATAACATTTACTTTTTGAAGATAATTTCATTTAAATGTTGACCGCGGCTGCGTCTTAGGTGGTCCATTCGGAAAGTCCAATTTTGGGCAACTTTTTCGAGCATTTCGGCCGGAATAGCCCGAATTTCTTCGGAAATGTTGTCTTCCAAAGCTGGAATAGTTGCTGGCTTATTTCTGTAGACTTTAGACTTGACGTAGCCCCACAAAAAATAGTCTAAAGGCGTCAAATCGCATGATCTTGGTGGCCAACTTACCGGTCCAATTCTTGAGATGAATTGTTCTCCGAAGTTTTTCCTCAAAATGGCCATAGAATCGCGAGCTGTGTGGCATGTAGCGCCATCTTGTTGAAACCACATGTCAACCAAGTTCAGTTCTTCCATTTTTGCCTACAAAAAGTTTGTTAGCATCGAACGATAGCGATCGCCATTCACCGTAACGTTGCGTCCAACAGCATCTTTGAAAAAATACGGTCCAATGATTCCACCAGCGTAAAAACCACACCAAACAGTGCATTTTTCGGGATGCATGGACAGTTCTTGAACGGCTTCTGGTTGCTCTTCACTCCAAATGCGGCAATTTTGCTTATTTACGTAGTCATTCAACCAGAAATGAGCCTCATCGCTGAACAAAATTTGTCGATAAAAAAGCGGATTTTCTGCCAACTTTTCTAGGGCCCATTCACTGAAAATTCGACGTTGTGGCAGATCGTTCGGCTTCAGTTCTTGCACGAGCTGTATTTTATACGGTTTTACACCAAGATCTTTGCGTAAAATCTTCCATGTGGTCGAATAACACAAACCCAATTGCTGCGAACGGCGACGAATCGACATTTCACGGTCTTCAGCAACACTCTCAGAAACAGACGCAATATTCTCTTCTGTACGCACTCTACGCATTCGTGTGGTTGGTTTAATGTCCAATAAAGTAAACTGAGTGCGAAACTTGGTCACAATCGCATTAATTGTTTGCTCACTTGGTCGATTATGTAGACCATAAATCGGACGTAAAGCGCGAAACACATTTCGAACCGAACACTGATTTAGGTAATAAATTTCAATGATTTGCAAGCGTTGCTCGTTAGTAAGTCTATACATGATGAAATGTCAAAGCATACTGAGCATCTTTCTCTTTGACACCATGTCTGAAATCCCACGTGATCTGTCAAATACTAATGCATGAAAATCCTAACCTCAAAAAAATCACCCTTTATATATATATATATAGGTGGAATGTGTCGATGTGTTTTTCGTGCTTCTTTTCCAGGATTTGGGGCAGTGTGGTCTATGGTGGATTTGATGTCATTTAGTTATTTAGTTTAAGGCAGTCATAACAATTAAGTAAAAAATTTGAATTTTTCGTTAGTTACGCCTTTTTGTTTTTTTTTTTTTTTAATAGAAGCTCATTTTTTGACCGCAGACGTGTAAAACTTTGTCAACACATGTAGTTTCAATTCACAATATTCATTCAAAAAGTCAATTTTCAATTTTTTGTTAGTTACGCCTTTTTGCATTTTAGCTGGCGATATATAGGAGCTATATTTAAAACTGAACCTATTTTTACGAAACACAACATTCTGGACCTAATTCAGTACGCTATGCCAAATTTCGTGCTAATTGTTATGCTGTGTTTCGTTTTGGCATCGTTATCCGCTTCTCCCCTTACTACTGCTTCTGTTGCTAACAACCTCCGACTTTCCACTCACTCGAATGCGACTATTTTTGCATTCCATTGTTTCATTCAGACACTCTTACCGACCTCTGCAGAGGTGTTACAAAATTCGCATATGCATTTTCCAAATTATTTTGATAAAAATGGTAAATATTAGGTTGGAGTAAAATCCATTAATTTTTTAATGAAATATAGGACTTTATATAACATGCTTAATATGGACTTCTATGCCTCTTTCATAGAAGTCCTGCTCTTTATTTGCAAAAAAAAACTCAATTTTTTATTTTTAAAGAAATTTTGCAATGCAAGAAAAAGATGACAATCGCATGGTGCCAAGTCCGGACTGTATGGCGGATGCATTAAAACTTCCCAACCAAGCTTCAGAAGTTTCTGGCGAGTTACTGTAGATGTGTGTGGCCTAGCGTTGTCCTGGTGGAACACGAAACCTCTCCTGTTGGCCAATTCTGGTCAATTCCTATCTTCAAACGGTCCAGTTGTTGACAGCGGAGATCAGAATTTAGCGTTTGACCATAAGGAAGAAACTCATGATAAATAATCTCCTTCCAGTCCCACCAAATGCATAGCAGAACCTTCCCGGTCGTTAGTCCTAGTTTGGCCACCGTTTGAGGTGCTTCGCCGCTCTTTGACCACGATCGTTTTCGCACATGGCTATCGTATGTGATCTATTTCTCATCTCCAGTCACCATCCGTTTAAGAAATGAGTCTATCTCATACCGATCTATCCTATTTTTTCTGTTAATTGGTGTGGAATTTTTTTTTTTTTTTTAATCCAGCTTTGTGTAAATGGTTGGAAACAGTATTATGGTCGATTTTTAGCTCGTAACATCACCACGACTGCTAACATGCCGGTCAACTTCGATTATTTCTCCGCTTTTATCGACATTTTCGTCGACCTAATGAATTTCTTTTTCCCCAACCTAATATAATATTGATCCTTTTTAGGGAAATGCCAGAGGAAAGGGCAGACGGGTCTCACCTTCGGACTTCAGGCTTGTTAAAGATAATATGTTATACAAAGTTTGGTTCAAATAGGTCCCATCTTCAAACTTGATCTAGGCTTGGAAAAGATAATAGGTTGTGTAAAGTTTGGTTCAAACGGACATTCCATTCGCCTGATATTGGATTTATAAATATTAGAAATGTTGACCCTTTGTGGGGGAGGAGTAGTCCAATGGGTCACATCTTCAAACTTGATCTAGGCTTGCTTAACATAAAATCGATTAGAGACAAAACTAATGACTTGTTTTTTAACAATTCTCATAAATAAATTTGTCAACCTAGGGTCTCGGTTTTGATCAATTTTGGTGACACTGAGCGCGATATATGCAGTGTATTTTCCATTTGGCTGCTATTGTACATTACGTTATTTTCAGTAGCGTTTCTTAAGATACTGATTTCGTCGAAATGGTCTTTCCACCTTTGCTTTTGTCCGTCTTGGTTTGCTAGTAGTCTATCATTGCGATCTTTTGTTGCTTAGATCGTGAAACACTTTCTAAACATATCTAATTTGATGAATATTTGGAAATCCAAAAACTCGTCTTGTAGTATTTAGTTTACAGCTTCAGAAAACAAGGTGTAATAATAAAATGTATTAAAGTCGAGATTACATTAAATTGAGATATTTGTTTGTATTTATTTCTTACATTTTCAAAACGTTCGAATTTTACCTTAGGGATACGTAGTCGATCGTAAAAGTCGACTTTTAGACTTTTCGATTTTTGAATGTAACCAAAAAGTCGATCTTTAGACTTTTCGATTTTTGCCTTTAACTAAAAAGTCGACATTTCGATCTTGGCAAACCTGCTCAAAATCGATTTTCAACTTTTACCTATTAATGCTTGTTGACTTCGCGATGTCCTCAATGATAAAAAGTCGACTTCGTTTTTTACATTTTTCAATACAAAAAATCGATTAATCTAAAATCGACTTATTTATCCCTATTTTATTCAATCTCGCGTTATCGCAAGATCTGATATTTTAATTACATCGAATGAAAAATTATTAAAGTTTGGTGCCAAGACGATTCCGATAATTGTTTTTTTTTTTCTTCTCCAATAAAAAAACTGTTCGTATAATGGATATCTCCTTTAGTAAAAAATGTGTTACTTAATTACATTCAGCT